AGGGCTCTTCTGATGTTATTATGTAAGTCCTCGGCCTCTGTGCCCTGTTGCTGGCCCTCCAGAGGAACTGGTTGGCCACAGTGTGAGACAAGATGCTTGACTAGATGGACCACTGGTCTGATCCAGCAGGGCTCTTCTGATGTTCTTATGTAAGGCCTCGGCCTCTATGCCCCGTTGCTGGCCCTCCAGAGGAACTGGTTGGCAACTGTGTGAGACAGGATGCTGGACTAGATGGACCACTGGTCTGATCCAGCAGGGCTCTTCTGATGTTCTTATGAAGGCCTTGGCCTCTCTGCCCTGTTGTTGGCCGTCCAGAGGAACTGGCTGGCCACTGTGTGAGACAGGATGCTGGACTAGATGGACCACTGGTCTGATCCAGCAGGGCTCTTCTGATGTTATTATGTAAGTCCTCGGCCTCTATGCCCTGTTGCTGGCCCTCCAGAGGAACTGGTTGGTCACTGTGTGAGACAAAATGCTTGACTAGATGGACCACTGGTCTGATCCAGCAGGGCTTTTCTGATGTTCTTATGTAAGGCCTTGGCCACAGTCTCCAGAACTGGGGGTTTAGGTTTGACAGAAGAGACTGGACAGGAGATTGAAAACTGCCAGTCTAGCCAAACGGAAAAGGATTATCGCTCCTAGAAAGAGGAGGATATTTCTTACCCAGTTGTTCAGAGGGTTCAACTCAGAAGGAAGCCCTGGTTTGTGTGAAAAGGGAAACGGTCTTAGACTCCTCAAGAGTATAAAGGGGAAAGTTATAACCACACCAGAGAAGTATTTAAGTACAGGAAGAAAGTACTAACTTCCAGGAAACTAAGATAAGTTTTATGAAACTTTATGAAGGCACATGGTTGCTGAGAGAAATCTCCAAGACAAACAAACCCCTCACAGTTAAGAACGGAGTCTCTAAGAATATAAGCTTCAACTATACTCTGTTGCCCGTTCAAAATATTATAATTTGTATAGGCAACCATATTTACCTCAGCTTCTCGTCCCCTGCCCTATTCCTAACTCCACTGAGCCCGTTCAATAAAATCAACCTTTTCGTTTTAACTTTACTTCGTATCAAGTCCCATTTCCAAAAGGGATTTATAAGAGGCCTCCTGCTGAGTTACAAAAAAACCCCTCTCTGGCCCGGGCAAAAGCCAAGTACGTTCTGTATCACAGGGCGGGACACGCAGAAAGTTATAATTCTATAATTCAAATGCACTACTAAGAGGCTGCTCAGTCAGAGAAGGAGAAGAGATTGGATTTATACCCCGCCCTTCACTACCCAAAGGTGTCTCAGAGCGGCTTTCAAACTCCTTTCCCTTCTCCTCCCCACAACAGGCACCCTGGGAAGTAGGTGGGGCTGAGAGAGCTCTGACAGAAACTGCTCTTTTTCAAGAACAGCTCTTATCAGAACTACGGCTTGCCCAAGGTCATCCAGCCAGGTGCAAGTGGAGGAGTGGGGAACCAAACCCGGTTCTCCCAGATTAGAGTCCGTGCACTTAACCACTAGGAGCTGCGGTGGCTCAAGTGGTTAGGACGCTGAACTGGAGGCTGTGGAAGGTCAGTAGTTCAGCAGTTCGAGACCCGAGTGCGCCGCATGACGGAGTGAGCTCCCGTCTCTAGTTCCAGCTCCTGCCAACCTAGCAGTTCGAAAGCAAGAAATTGCAAGTAGATAAATAGGGACCACTTTGGTGGGAAGGTCACAGCGTTCTGTGCGCCTTGGTGTTTAGTCATGCCGGCCACGTGACCACGGAAACGTCTTCGGACAGCGCTGACTCTTCGGCTTTGAAACGGAGATGAGCACCGCAACCCTAGAGTCGGATTCAACTGGCTTTCGAGCAAGGGAGACCTTTACCTTTACTTAACCACTACAGCAAACTGTCTCTCAAACAGAGTGGGCAACGCTGTTTTGGCGGGGAAATCTGCCTCACAGAGAAGAAGAGGCAGGGGGCCGTCAGCTCCGTTGGGCCCGTTGGAACGCAGCAGTCAGGGAAATGGCACCAGCGGCCCCGCTACTTCCAAACTGACACTTTTCTCCTCTTTGTGCCAGTCTGAAGGACGATGACAGTGGAGACCATGACCAGAACGAAGAGAACGGCACACAGAAAGATGGTGAGAAGGAAAAAAACGATAGAGACAAATCCCAGACTAGCAGCAAGAGGAAGGTACGTTCTTGCCCCCGCCGTGCCCCAGAGCGGGGGTGTCGGGGGCATTACCCTGTAGCCTCTAACTCAAAAGAACCTTCTCTCTTGCATTTGTGGGGGGGGGGGAGCCTGCATGTTTTTAAAAGTCCGTATTTGAAAGCAGAACAAATTCTGCAACATTCCAGTGTTTCGCCACCAGGCTAACGGGGCTAGGTCTTCAAATATTTGAAGTAGGGCAGGGAGCTGTTCCTGTTGGCAGCAGAGGAGAAGACTCACAATCGTGGGTTTAGATGAAGGGTGGGAAGGTACTGGCTGGACATTAGGGAAAACTTTTTTGTCAGTCCGAGTTGTGCAGCAGTGGAATCGGCTGCCGAGGGAGGTGGTGAGCTCCCCCTCCCTGGCAGTCTTCAGGCAGCGGCTGGACAAACACTGGTCAGGGGTGCTGTAGGCTGATCCTGCCTTGAGCAGGGGGTAGGACACTAGATGGCCTGTCTGGCCCCCTTCCCACTCTGGGATTCTCTGATTCTAAGTGGGAAGTGCCATTTGCGGAGGGGTTTTCCTCCTATTCAGGTGAATGGCCGTCGTTCATTCCTACAGGGAAAGCGAAGAGGTATACTAGCTGTTGGTGCAAATGTGCCATCCACTCTTCGGAGTGGTCAGTGGGGTTCCTCGTAGACATGCTGTACCCCTCCCTTCAATAGGTTCTTGTAGTGTGCAATCCGCCCCCCCCATAAGAACATCAGAGAAGCCAATGTTGGATCAGGCCAATGGCCCATCCAGTCCAACACTCTGTCACACAGTGGCCAGAAATACCAGGTGCCATCAGGAGGTCCACCAGTGGGGCCAGGACCCTAGAAGCCCTCCCACTGTTGCCCCCCCCCAGCACCAAGAATACAGAGCATCACTGCCCCAAACATAAGACCATAAGAGAAGCCAATGTTGGATCAGGCCAGTGGCCCATCCAGTCCAACACTCTTGTGTCACACAGTGGCCAAAAAGACCAGGTGCCCTCAGGAGGTCCAGCAGTGGGGCCAGGACACTAGAAGCCCTCCTACTGTTGTCCCCCCCCAGCACCAAGAATACAGAGCATCACTGCCCCAAACATAAGACCATAAGAGAAGCCAATGTTGGATCAGGCCAGTGGCCCATCCAGTCCAACACTCTGTGTCACACAGTGGCCAGAAATACCAGATACCACCAGGGGGTCCAGCAGTG